TGTGCTATTGAACGGTGAGGTTGTGATACCAGAATTGGATATTTTCAAAGAGGCAGGCGGAATTGGTGTTGCTTATGATCGTTTAATAACGTTTTATGTAAGTCCTTGCTTTTTTATTTTCGTAATTCTCCGGGATTTTTCTAACTTTTGATGAGATGCAACAAAAAAGTTAATGTGAGATAGTACTGTGACATATCAAGTTATAGTTTTGATAAGTTAACTTTCGTTAAGTTTTGATAAGTTTCGTAATTCTCCGAGTTTTTGGAGGTAAAAGCTATTCCTTGTATGATTTTTTTTCCTTTCCTTTCCCACTGAGGAAAGAGGGGAAATGAGGTGAGTATAAGTAAAATTGATTATTTGTGAAGAAAAATACTAAAAATTAAGTCATGAGGCGCGAATTTTAGTTGGAAAGCGGAAGGTCGGTAGTAAGTTGAGCCAAAAAAGAATAATTTTGCCAGAGCAGTCATGAATTTGGCCTGAAATTTTTAAATCTGCATTAGATTGGTTTATGAAAAGGCGAAATTTGACACGAAAATACCAAGAAAACGCTGTTTTCGAGCAAATTGAATGTAATTTTGGACAAAATGGGGAAGTAAAACTAATTTTTTAACCAATTTTTTCGTAAGTCTCATTTTTTTCTTGACCGGGAAGAAATCGAGTTCTTCATTTTAATTGTCTTTGAATCTTTCGAATGAAAATTTGATTTTCGGTTTACTGCCGATCTCTGCAAGTTCAGCACTAATAGTTAAAGCATGGCTTTTTTTTTTGTATCTACACCCGCCCGATGCAAGCACTTTCTTTAATCTTGTTATTTTCCAAATCGTACGGATAAATATAAATTGCAGCCGTTAAGACCAATTCGTAATCTTAAGAATAATTTGCGGTCGTTGGTAGATCGGACTGTAATGTTCAAAGCAGCTAAGCGGTCCGAAACATAGAAAATGTGGACGGTCACAGTCCGAAGGTTTTCAGCTAGGTTGGGGATAGTTTAAGAAATGTATACGACTTAATGGACCGAGACATTTCTTGCCTATAACAAATATTTCTTTGGACATCTTTCCCATTTTATTATCCTTTTCATCCTTTTCATTGTTTCCTTCTTCTCCTGATATTTTCTTTTCAACTTTTAATAAAACGGAAAAGACAGTAGGGCTGTTCCGCTCTGCCATTTGGCATTTTACGATGTAGTCTATCTGTGTTTCATCCCTTAACTGTAAACAGAGCCAACCAAAATTACAGTCCAATCTTTCGTTGAGATTAGTTAAAAGGCCTTTGATTGCTAAGATTACTTTTATATGCCGCTCAATTTGTGATTATAAGTAAATCAGGGGAGACGAAAGACTCTCTCAAGAGATTTCGTCACTGTCTGTTCGGATTACTCTATCTGGGAGTAAAGAAATGTATTTATATATGCAGGTAAAGAAAGGCATCTTAATAGTTGGCAATCGTCGCGACACGTCCTCTCATCTGAGGATCACATTCGCTAAGGTATTTTTTCATTCACTTTGATTTTACTTTTTGTCGCTTTATTAATTTTTTATAAGTTTTTTTTTTCAGCTAAAAAAATATGAGACTTTTGCAAATATGAGGCTTTTTCGGCAAATTTTAACAGTTAAAACCTGCCAACTGAAATAGTAGAATAGAGGTGATTGGACTTAAGTGTCATATGTAAGAAGACATTTTACGCGATGCAGCAGTCTGCTTGTGTTTCATCCCTTAGCTGTAAACACTGACTGAACTGTATGCATGCGGGTAAGAGAGGGAATCATCAGTACAGCCTCATTAGACCTACTTTTTGCAAATATGCGACTTTTTCGGCAGATTTTAACAGTTAAAAATTGACTCCTCGAGTGGAACATCTGACCGTTCGGCGATTTTTATTTCATTCATTTTGGTAGTAAATTAGTACTGACATATGCCAGATAATCGATTCCAGCAACAGCTTGCGTGTAAGCAATTTGCGAAAAAAGGGGCCATTTACAGCCTTACCGGTGGGTATTTGCTGTTGGCACT